ATGTAGACAGAACTAGGTTGAAGGAAGAATTCCTCTGTCGACCTACCTACCATCTCTCAGGGGGGTGTATTACCTACACTGATGGGAGAACCCCTTAGGTCATCATAGGTAGTGTCTCTGTTGAACGGCTACAGCACTGCAGCTCTGGTGCTGCAGGATTTTAAGTGTAGACAAGCCCACCAGTGTCAGAGTACAGGCAAGGTGGGTGAAGTAATATCTTTTATTGGACCCTGGTGAGACAGACAATCTTTCGAGCTTACACAGAGCTCTTCTTAGAGCACAAAACAAAGGAAAGCAGCAACAAAGGTTGCAAACAGAAATAAACAAACAAGACGCAACATAGGTTGGAGGAGCTCATGAACATGCTTCTCTTCAATGCCCCAGCAAACTTCAGCTTTGAAAAACCTAGAGAGTGAACAGACTGAAAGCAGCATTTTGGAAGATGTTGCTGCAGACATTCAGGCATCATCTTTACTTTATATCTTTAAATCCCCTCCCTTTACTGAAGACAATCACGAAGGTGACTATGACAGAATTCTGGGCCTATTTGATGCACACTTTATAGCTCAGAGAAATGTGGTTTATGGAAGGGCGTGTTTTCACCAGAGATTTCAATAACCAGGGTCATCTGCTGAATTGTTCATAAGTGCTTTGCATGCATTGACAGAAAACTGAGTTTGGAACTGTAAAACATGAAAATATTAGGGATAGTGTGGTTATTGCCTGCCAGATAAATCTTTCTCGGTAACTAAAATTAAAGACAGACTTAAACCTTCACACAGCTACCCAAATCATAGAATATCAGGGTTGGAAAGGACCTCAAGAGGTCATCTAGTGCAACCCCCTGCTCAAAGCAGGACCAACCCCCAACTAAATCATCCCAGCCAGGGCTTTGTCAAGCCGGGCCTTAAAAACCTCCAAGGAAGGAGACTCCACCACCTCCCTAGGTAACGCATTCCAGTGCTGCACCACCCTCCTAGTAAAAGAGTGTTTCCTAATATCTAACCTGGACCTCCCCCACTGCAACTTGAGACCATTGCTCCTTGTTCTGTCATCTGCCACCACTGAGAACAGCCGAGCTCCATCCTCTTTGGAACCCCCCTTCAGGTAGTTGAAGGCTGCTATCAAATCCCCTCTCATTCTTCTCTTCTGGAGACTAAACAATCCCAGTTCCCTCTGCCTCTCCTCATAAGTCATGTGCTCCAGCCCCCTAATCATTTTTGTTGCCCTCCGCTGGACTCTTTCCAATTTTTCCACATCCTTCTTGTAGTGTGGGGCCCAAAACTGGACACAATATTCCAGATGAGGCCTCACCAATGTCAAATAAAGGGGAACGATCACGTTCCTCATTCTGCTGGCAATGCCCCTACTTATACAGCCCAAAATGCCGTTAGCCTACTTGGCTAACAACACCACGCTGTTGACTCATATCCAGCTT